CACACACATCCACACCCCTCGCTGTGTGCGTCTGTGTCCGACCGCACGCGCGAGAACACACGCTCGCCCTGGCGCTAAAAGCCTTCACGCAAATTGAAAGGCTAACAAAAACGGAATGCACTCTCTATATTGTCCCCAGATAAGAGAGCACGAAGCGAGGGAGGACGGAGGGCCGAGGTAGGTGGGAGAAAGGGAGAAGGCGAGGGACGAAATAAGGAAGGAGAAAGGGAGGAGAAAGGGAGGAAGGAGGGAGGGCCGATGGGGCCGAGGGAGGGAGGAGAGAGGGTCGAGGCAGGAATGGAGGACGGGCCGAAATAAGGAAGGAGAAAGGGAGCAGGGAGAAGGCGAGGGAGGAAATAAGGAAGGAGAAAGGGAGGAAGCACGAAGGGCCGATGGGGCCGACATAGGGAGGACAGAGGACGGCCCGAGAGAGAGAGAGAGAGAGAGAGAGAGAGAGAGAGAGAGAGAGAGAAAGAGAGAGAGAGAGAGCACGGATTCACGATGAGCACCGTGCACGAAAAGCATGTATCCACGACGAGCACGAAAAGCACGGATCAACGATGAGAACCGAGCACCAAAGAAAAGCACGGATCCCCAATGACCACGAATCCACAATGATCATGTACCGACGATGAGCACCGAGCACGAAAAGCACGGATCGACGATGAGCACGTCGTCATGCACCAAAGAAAAGCACGGATCCACGATGAGCACGAAAAGCATGTATCATGCACCAAAGAAAAGCACGGATCCACGATGAGCACGAAAAGCACGTATCATGCACCAAAGAAAAGCACGGATCCACGATGAGCACGAAAAGCACGTATCATGCACCAAAGAAAAGCACTGATCCACGATGAGCACGAAAAGCAGGGATCGACGATGAGCACGTGATCATGCACCAAAGAAAAGCATGGATCCACGATGAGCACTAAAAGCACGTATCATACACCAAAGAAAAGCACGGATCCACGATGAGCACGAAAAGCAGGGATCGACGATGATCACGTGATCATGCACCAAAGAAAAGCACGGATCCACAATGAGCACGAAAAGCACGGATCGATGATGAGCACGTGATCATGCACCAAAGAAAAGCACGTATCCACGATGAGCACGAAAAGCACGTATCCACGATTAGCACCCAGCACCAAAAGCACGGATAGACGATGAGTGCGTGATCATGCACCAAAGAAAAGCACGGATCCACAATCAACACGTGATCATGCACCAAAGCACGGATCCACGATCGACACGTGATCATGCACCAAAGCACGGTTCCACGATCAGCATGTGACGAAAAGCACAGTTCCACGATCAGCGCGTGACGAAAAGCACGGTTCCGCGATCAGCACGTGACGAAAAGCACGGTTCCACGATCAGCACGTGACGAAAAGCACGGATCCACGATGAGCACAAAGCACCAAAGAGCACAGTCCGAGAGAGAGAGAGAGAGAGAGAGAGAGAGAGAGAGAGAGAGAGAGAAACAAAGAGAGAGAGAGAGAGAGAGAGAGAGAGAGA